AGTGGCGGTGATGGTACAGCGGCGGTGATGGTGAAGTGGTGGTGATGGTACAGTGGCGGTGATGGTACAGTGGTGGTGATGGTACAGTGGCGGTGATGGTGAAGTGGCGGTGATGGTACAGTGGCGGTGATGGTACAGTGGCGGTGATGGTACAGTGGCGGTGATGGTACAGTGGCGGTGATGGTACAGTGGCGGAGATGGTGAAGTGGTGGTGATGGTACAGCGGTGGTGATGGTACAGTGGCGGTGATGGTACAGTGGCGGTGATGGTACAGTGGCGGTGATGGTACAGTGGCGGTGATGGTACAGTGGCGGTGATGGTTCAGTGGTGGTGATGGTACAGTGGCAATGATGGTACAGCGGCGGTGATGGTGAAGTGGTGGTGATGGTACAGTGGCGGTGATGGTGAAGTGGTGGTGATGGTACAGTGGCGGTGATGGTACAGTGGCGGTGATGGTACAGTGGCGGTGATGGTACAGTGGCGGAGATGGTGAAGTGGTGGTGATGGTACAGTGGCGGTGATGGTACAGTGGCGGTGATGGTGCAGTGGTGGTGATGGTGAAGTGGCGGTGATGGTACAGTGGCGGTGATGGTGAAGTGGTGGTGATGGTACAGTGGCGGTGATGGTACAGTGGCGGTGATGGTACAGTGGTGGTGATGGTGAAGTGGCGGTGATGGTGAAGTGGTGGTGATGGTACAGTGGCGGTGATGGTGAAGTGGCGGTGATGGTGAAGTGGCGGTGATGGTACAGTGGCGGTGATGGTGAAGTGGTGGTGATGGTACAGTGGCGGTGATGGTACAGTGGCGGTGATGGTGAAGTGGCGGTGATGGTACAGTGGCGGTGATGGTGAAGTGGCGGTGATGGTACAGTGACGGTGATGGTACAGTGGCGGTGATGGTACAGTGGCGGTGATGGTGAAGTGGTGGTGATGGGACAGTGGCGGTGATGGTGAAGTGGCGGTGATGGTGAAGTGGCGGTGATGGTGAAGTGGCGGTGATGGTACAGTGGCGGTGATGGTACAGTGGCGGAGATGGTGAAGTGGCGGTGATGGTGAAGTGGCGGTGATGGGACAGTGGCGGTGATGGTGAAGTGGCGGTGATGGGAAAGTGGCGGTGATGGTACAGTGGCGGTGATGGTACAGCGGCGGTGATGGTACAGTGGCGGTGATGGTACAGTGGCGGTGATGGTACAGTGGCGGTGATGGTACAGTGGCGGTGATGGTACAGTGGCGGTGATGGTGAAGTGGTGGTGATGGTACAGTGGCGGTGATGGTACAGTGGCGGTGATGGTGAAGTGGTGGTGATGGTACAGTGGCGGTGATGGTACAGTGGCGGTGATGGTACAGTGGCGGTGATGGTGAAGTGACGGTGATGGTGAAGTGGCGGTGATGGTGAAGTGGCGGTGATGGTACAGTGGCGGTGATGGTGAAGTGGCGGTGATGGTACAGTGGCGGTGATGGTGAAGTGGCGGTGATGGTGAAGTGGCGGTGATGGTACAGTGGCGGTGATGGTACAGTGGCGGTGATGGTGAAGTGGCGGTGATGGTACAGTGGCGGTGATGGTACAGTGGCGGTGATGGTGAAGTGGCGGTGATGGTGAAGTGGCGGTGATGGTGAAGTGGCGGTGATGGTACAGTGGCGGTGATGGTGAAGTGGCGGTGATGGTACAGTGGCGGTGATGGTGAAGTGGCGGTGATGGTGAAGTGACGGTGATGGTACAGTGGCGGTGATGGGACAGTGGCGGTGATGGTGAAGTGGTGGTGATGGTGGTAGAGTGGCGATTATGGTACAGCGGTAATGGTACAGTGACGGTGATGGTGAAGTGGTGGTGATGGTGGTAGAGTGGCGGTGATGGTGAAGTGGCGGTGATGGTAAAGTGGCGGTGATGGTACAGTGGCGGTGATGGTACAGTGGCGGTGATGGTGAAGTGGCGGTGATGGTACAGTGGCGGTGATGGGACAGTGGCGGTGATGGTGAAGTGGTGGTGAAGTGGTGGTGATGGTGGTAGAGTGGCGATGATGGTGAAGTGCTGGTGATGGTGGTAGAGTGGCGGTGATGGTGAAGTGGCGGTGATGGTGAAGTGGTGGTGATGGTGAAGTGGTGGTGATGGTGGTAGAATGGCGGTGATGGTACAGCGGTGGTGATGGTACAGTGGCGGTGATGGTGAAGTGGTGGTGATGGTACAGTGGCGGTGATGGTACAGTGGCGGTGATGGTACAGTGGCGGTGATGGTGAAGTGGTGGTGATGGTACAGTGGCGGTGATGGTGAAGTGGCGGTGATGGTGAAGTGGTGGTGATGGTACAGTGGCGGTGATGGTGAAGTGGCGGTGATGGTGAAGTGGCGGTGATGGTACAGTGGCGGTGATGGTGATGATGGTACAGTGGCGGTGATGGTGAAGTGGCGGTGATGTGAAGTGGCGGTGGTACAGCGGCGGTGATGGTGACAGTGGCGGTGATGGTACAGCGGTGATGATGGTACAGCGGCGGTGATGGTGAAGTGGCGGTGATGGTACAGCGGTGATGATGGAACAGCGGCGGTGATGGAACAGCGGCGGTGATGGTGAAGTGGCGGTGATGGTACAGCGGTGATGATGGTACAGTGGCGGTGATGATGGTACAGCGGCGGTGATATTGAAGTGGCGGTGATGGTACAGCGGTGATGATGGTACAGTGGCGGTGATGGTACAGCGGCGGTGAAGGTACAGCGGTGATGATGGTACAGCGGTGATGATGGTACAGCGGTGATGGTACAGCTTTGATGATGGTACAGCGGCGGTGATGGTGAAGTGGCGGTGATGGTGAAGTGGCGGTGATGGTGAAGTGGCGGTGATGTTACAGCGGCGGTGATGGTGAAGTAGCGGTGATGGTGAAGTGGCGGTGATGGTGAAGTGGCGGTGATGATACAGCGGCGGTGATGGTGAAGTAGCGGTGATGGTGAAGTGGCGGTGATGGTGAAGTGGCGGTGATGGTGAAGTGGCGGTGATGGTGAAGTGGCGGTGATGGTGAAGTGGCGGTGATGGTGAAGTGGCGGTGATGGTGAAGTGGTGGTGATAGTACAGCGGCGGTGATGGTACAGCGGCGGTGATGGTACAGCGGCGGTGATGGTACAGCGGCGGTGATGGTACAGCGGCGGTGATGGTACAGCGGCGGTGATGGTACAGCGGTGATGATGGTACAGCGGTGATGGTGAAGTGGCGGTGATGGTGAAGTGGTGGTGATGGTGAATTGGCGGTGATGGTGAAGTGGTGGTGATGGTACAGCGGTGATGATAGTACATGGGCGGTGATGGTACAGCGGCGGTGATGGTATAGCGGCGGTGATGGTACAGCGGTGATGATAGTACAGCGGCGGTGATGGTACAGCGGTGATGATAGTACATGGGCGGTGATGGTACAGCGGCGGTGATGGTATAGCGGCGGTGATGATACAGCGGTGATGATAGTACAGCGGCGGTGATGGTACAGCGGTGATGATGGTACAGCGGTGATGGTGAAGTGGCGGTGATGGTGAAGTGGCGGTGATGGTGAAGTGGTGACAGCGGTGGTGATGGTACAGCGGCGGTGATGGTACAGCGGCGGTGATGATGGTACAGCGGTGATGATGGTACAGCGGTGGTGATGGTACAGCGGTGGTGATGGTACAACGGTGATGGGGTGAAGCGGCGGTGATGGTGAAGTGGCGGTGATGGTGAAGTGGCGGTGATGGTGAAGTGGTGGTGATGGTACAGCGGCGGTGATGGTACAGCGGCGGTGATGGTACAGCGGTGATGATGGTACAGCGGTGATGATGGTACAGCGGTGGTGATGGTACAGCGGTGGTGATGGTACAGCGGCGGTGATGGTACAGCGGCGGTGATGGTACAGCGGCGGTGATGATACAGCGGTGATGATGGTACAGCGGTGATGATGGTACAGCGGTGATAATGGTACAGCGGTGATGATTGTACAGCGGCGGTGATGGTACAACGGCGGTGATGATGGTACAGCGACGGTGATGGTAAAGCGGTGATGATGGTACAGCGGCGATGATGATGGTACAGCGGTGATGATGGTACAGCGGTGATAATGGTACAACGGCGGTGATGATGGTACAGCGGCGGTGATGGTACAGCGACGGTGATGGTAAAGCGGTGTTGATGGTACAGCGGCGATGATGATGGTACAGCGGTGATGATGGTACAGCGGTGATAATGGTACAGCGGTGATGATTGTACAGCGGCGGTGATGGTACAGCGGCGGTGATGATGGTACAGCGGCGATGATGATGGTACAGCGGCGATGATGATGGTACAGCGGCGGTGATGGTACAGCGGTGATGATAGTACAGCGGTGATGATGGTACAGCGGTGATGATGGTACAGCGGCGGTGATGGTACAGCGGCGGTGATAGTACAGCGGTGATGGTACAGCGGCGGTGATGGTACAGCGGCGGTGATGGTACAGCGGCGGTGATGGTACAGCGGCGGTGATGGTACAGCGGCGGTGATGGTACAGCGGCGGTGATGGTACAGCAGTGATGATGGTACAGCGGCGATGATGGTACAGCGGCGGTGATGGTACAGCGGTGGTGATGGTACAGCGGTTGATGATGGTACAGCGTTGATGATGGTACAGCGGTGATGATGGTACATCAGTGATGATGGTACAGCAGTGATGATGGTACAGCGGCGGTGATGGTACAGCGGTGGTGATGGTACAGCGGTGGTGATGGTACAGTGGTGATGATGGTACAGCGTTGATGGTACAGCGGTGATGATGGTACAGCGGCGGTGATGTTGGTACAGCGGCGGTGATGATGGTACAGCGGCGGTGATGGTACAGCAGTGATGATGGTACAGCGGTGATGATGGTACAGCGATGATGATGGTATAGCGGCGGTGATGATGGTACAGCGGCGGTGATGATGGTACAGCAATGATGATGGTACAGGGGTGATGATGGTACAGCGGCGGTGATCGTACAGCGGCGGTGATGGTACAGCAGTGATGATGGTACAGCGATGATTATGGTACAGCGGCGGTGATCGTACAGCGGCTGTGATGATGGTACAGCGGTGAAGATGGTACAGCGGCAGTGATGATGGTACAGCTGTGGTGATAGTACAGCGGCGGTGATGATGGTACAGCGGTGATGATGGTACAGCGGCGGTGATGGTACAGCGGTGATGGTACAGCGGTGATGGTACAGCGGTGATGATGGTACAGCGGCGGTGATGGTACAGCGGTGATGATGGTACAGCGGTGATGATTGTACAGCGGCGGTGATGGTGAAGCGGCGGTGATGATGGTACAGCGGTGATGATGGTACAGGGGTGATGATGGTACATCGGCGGTGATAGTACAGCGGTGATGATGGTACAGCGGTGATGATGGTACAGCGGCGGTGATGCTACAGCGGTAATGATGGTACAGCGGTGATAATGGTACAGCGGTGATGATGGTACAGCGGTGATGGTACAGCGGTGATAATGGTACAGTGGTGATAATGGTACAGCGATGATAATGTTACAGCGGTGATAATGGTACAGCGGTGATAATGGTACAGCGGTAATGATGGTACTGCAGTGATAATGGTACAGCGATGATAATGGTACAGCGGAGATGATGGTACAGCGGTAATGATGGTACAGCGGTAATGATAGTACAGCGGCGGTGATGGTACAGCGGCGGTGATGGTACAGCGGCGGTGATGATGGTACAGCGGTGATGATGGTACAGCGGTAATGATGGTACAGCGGTGATGATGGTACAGCGGTGATAATGGTACAGCGGTGATAATGGTACAGCGGTGATAATGGTACAGCGGTGATGATGGTACAGCGGTAATAATGGTACAGCGGTGATGATGGTACAGCGGCGGTGATGGTACAGCGGCGGTGATGGTACAGCGATGATGATGGTACAGCGGCGGTGATGGTACAGCGGTGATGCTGGTACAGCGGTGATGATGGTACAGCGGTGGTGATGATGGTACAGCGGTGATAATGGTACAGCGGTGGTGATGGTACAGCGGTGATGATGGTACAGCGGTGATGATGATGGTACAGCGGTGATGATGATACAGCGGTGATGATGGTACAGCGGTGATAATGGTACAGCGGTGATGATGGTACAGCGGCGGTGATGATGGTACAGCGGTGATGATGGTACAGCGGTGATAATGGTACAGCGGTGATGATGGTACAGCGGCGGTGATGATGGTACAGCGGTGATAATGGTACAGCGGTGATGATGGTACAGCGGTGATGATGATGGTACAACGGTGATGATTATACAGCGGTGATGATGGTACAGCGGTGATTATGGTACACCGGTGATGATGGTACAGCGGTGATGGTACAGCGATGATGATGGTACAGCAGTGATGATGGTACAGCGGCGGTGATGGTACAGCGGCGGTGATGGTACAGCGGCGGTGATGGTACAGCGGCGGTGATGGTACAGCGGCGGTGATGGTACAGGGCGGTGATGGTACAGGGCGGTGATGGTACAGCGGCGGTGATGGTACAGCGGTGATAATAGTACAGCGGGAGTGATGATGGTTCAGCGGCGGTGATGATGGTACAGCGGCGGCGGTGATGGTACAGCGGGAGTGATGATGGTACAACGGCGTTCTCCGGCAAGGTCAAGGTACGTGTACCACACCAATAAGACAGTATTGTATTCTCAGAAACAGCGCCAACAAATCCTGTTTACCGCCACTCGAAACAGCAGTGTTCTCAACCGTAACAAATTAAGAGGATTTACACTGCTAACGAACTGTGCCAACTATGACAAAAAAATTAATCAACAGTGATGCTCTGACGCTTGAAACAGATACATAAAGATTACAGAAATAGCTGTCAAATGTATCTTCAATAGTCGCTTTGATGCTACACTGTAAAGCTAAGGTATCTAAGATGATCCATAGAAGTCAGTTTAGACGACTTCTCAGAAGCCATTAGAATGCAAGGGGGAAATAAATTAATCAAGGTATAAATATGTCTGGTGTTTCGGACCTGACGCGAGGGGGCAAATCATCTGGCTGTGCGGGTATGAAGTTCTTGGTACAGTATCTTTTATCTTCCAGACGGTGCCCACCGGCGATCGCCAGACTGGAGACGGTGCCCATGAACGATCGCCAGACTGGAGACGGTGCCCACCAGCGATCGCCAGACTGGACAAGGTGCCCACCAGCGATCGCCAGACTGGACACGGTGCAGTAAATAATGAATCCAAGCTCTGGAGTGCAAACTCCTGGTGTAGAGGAAACACAAGTGACAACCCAAACCCATTTCCATCTCCCCAACCTCCTCCCCATCACTCCAATTCCATGCCTTACACCCCTAGCGACCTCCTCCCTCTCCCCCAGGATGGGGTAATGCGTGTATGTGCATATATTCCCTCATTTATCACCCGTCACGCTCTACACCCCTCATATATCACATACACTCCCGCCAGAATCGATAACCAGTCTTTTGAATGTGGCATGCGGACCTCTAGACTAAAAAAAAAGGCGCCAATG